ATTTTTAGAGTTAATTATGGTCACAATGAAAATACAATAAAGAATCTTGTTTCAAAATTTTAACGATATTTGTTGTAGAATTAGAGATTAAAATAAAGTTTAGAGTATTTCATATTTTCAGGTATTATACAAAGAGAAATTGATAATCAATCAAGATTGTTGAATATGTTATAATGTAAATATTCATTAATTATGTATTATTGATGTTTTTACTGTATTGACATTTTTTGTATCATATTTACAGCATTCATTAAAAGGTAATAAAAAGTAATTAAGTTTTGATTTTTCATATAAGGCCTAGATACTATTTATTTATACTATGCCCTCTACATGAAATACAATTTTACTTACCTGTTCATATTGATTACAGTATCTCTAAAATTGAGAGTAAATCATGTATTATTTTGTTTGCATATAAAGTACTAAAATAAAATTACTACAACATGAGTAATAAAATTGTTGATAAAGTTTGTACGATATGTGGCGGGAATAAGACAATTGGTAATTATAATAAAATTTTTATAGTATGTATCATTTTAATATGTCAAAATCAAATACATTAAAATATTAAAATAATACCCATATAATTAGTAAGCCTTAACATTATTTATAAAAATATTGTATAATAGGCAGAAATTTTGGTGCCATTACTTGCGATTCGTGTAAAATGTTTTTCCGGAGAACTGCACTCAAAACAAGGGTTAACCTGAAATGATTGACAATTTGTAAACATTATTATATTTAATAATCTGTTCATTTTATAGCCATTGATCTGTACCTCGGATGGTAAATGCAATATAACCACAGAATCGAGAAAATCGTGTCTAAAATGCAGACTTAATAAGTGTTTTGCAGTCGGAATGATAAAAGTAATTATTAAACTTTCATAATTAAATAATCAAGTTATTATAATTTTATGATTTTTGAATAGGAGTTCATACGGGATGTGGAGGCAAATGAGTTAAGAAAACAATTAATTAAAGAAAATAAACATAAATCTCAGCAAAATAATGAAAACAATTCAGTTGACAAACCTATTGATAATTCTGTGGACAATGTCATCAACGATACATCAAATGAGATCAAACTTTCTGATGAGACATACGCTCAAGAAATTGAAGCTTTGATTGGAAACACACATAATATCAGTGATGAAGCACTCAGTGAACAGATTATGGACATTAAGTACTGTCTGTCGGGAAAGTCGGATATATTGTGCGAAATCCGACAAAAGGCACAGAAACTGGCGGTCATTCCGATGTGCAAAACGCTGACCGATTATAACGGCATAAATCAGTTGGAAAGCCGTCGTATCGACGAGCTATTGGTGGCGACCAACGTATTCAACACCGAATTGAGTGATAATAACGTGGAGATTAGGGACCCAAATGAGTATATGCTGGTGACGAACCAAAAGTACGAGAAGATTATCCAGACTATCGTCGACTTCACCAAACGATTGGACGGTTTTCAGAAACTGTGTGTCGAGGACCAGATGTCACTCGTGAAGTACGGGTGCCTTGAATTGAATTTTCTCAGAAGTCTACTGTATTTCGACGAACAAACTCAAGAATATCGGTTCCCATTAGTGAGTATCTATGTGAACATGTAAAAAGTGAGAATGTACTAAAATTAATGTTTACAATAGACTGATACTAGGACACTTAAGGTCAGTTTGGAAGCATTAAAAGAGCATAGGATGGAAACATATTACCCATTAAAGATATTTATGGATAAATTCTTCCCAGAATGGAATAGGGATCAAGTTATAATTGACCTGGTATGAAAATATATGTGGTGTTTATTATTCTTTATATTCTTTACGGGTTTAGAGTTAGTATTTATTGAAAATATTTCTATAATTAATTCAAACCTAGTTATCTGCGATCGTAATTATGAACCCTAAGCGACAAAACTTAACGCACAAACAAAGTATCAAGTAAGTTAATAATGTAAATCTAGCTTATTAACATTGCTTTTAATAAAAAATTAATTTACATAACAGACTGGAGCAACAGCTTTATGTGTATTTATTGCAGCGATACTTACTATTGAGATATCAATCGGAGTCGGAATCAAAACTCCAGAAACTGATGGTTTCGTTGACAGACCTCACGATTACAGCCGAAGCCCATAAACAGTGCGAAGTGCAAGAGGTTTACGAGTGTAGACCTTTACTACAATATTATGGCCCACTTTTGAGCGAGGTCTACGACTTGCATCAATTCGTATAATTATGGTCAACTTAATTAATATGCTAATTCAAAAATGTTACGATTTTATATTTATGTTAAATTTTATATTGATAGTTTGCGTAAGATAAGTATTTGTATGCATAATACAGTATTAGGGATTATTTGTACAAATAAATAAACTACCAAACTATAAATTGTATTAATTTTTACAATAAATATTCTTATAATTAAAATTAAATTAAAATAATTAATAATAGATATAATGTTATAATAATAGAAAGACAATTGCCTTTTAAAATCTATGGGATTATAAATGTGAAGGACATGTATAGTAGGCATACTCGCAAAGCAAACATAACTGTAATGTCAGATAAGAAATAAATTTCTATTTACTTCACAATCAACATTGCTTTGTAAAATGTAATAACGGAGTATATAACAAAACCAAAAAAGTTTGTTAATCACTTTACTTACAGTTTCAGTTACTTTCTGAAACAGTTCACACACCGCTATCATTTGTTTATCCATAATATGACATTTTATTATATTAAAAATTAGTTTATTATACCCAATTGTTTAAAATGTGAATTATATCCTAGGTAGAAATTTTTGTGCCACTACTTGCGAGTCGTGTAAAGCATTTTTCCGGAGAACTGCGCTCAAGGCTATAGTTAGATATTAATACCAATTTATTAACTAATAGTCTAAATTTAATTAAAGTTTATTTACTTTTTAATAGCAATTACAATGCGTTTCAAACGGCAAATGCGAGATCAATGTACAGACGAGACGATTGTGTCCGAAGTGTAGACTTAAAAAGTGTTTTGACATCGGAATGAGAATTGTGTGCAGTTTTCAGTATAACTTATTATGTTTTGATAATTATTTTACAAATAATTTCTTAATCCAGGATTTCATACGAAGTGAAACGGAAAACAAAATTCGCAGACAATTGATGATTGAAAAGAAAATGAAAAAACTATTGCAAGACATGAGCGCATATTCTGACGATTATAAATTAATAGATTAATTATAAAAAATAAATAGCCATTCATATGTCCATCTGATGGCAACTGCGATATAACCACAACAACGAGAAAATCGTGTCAAAAATGTAGACTAAATAAGTGTTTTGAAGTGGGAATGAAAAAAGTAAATAAATTAATTGTTAATTATTTTATTTATTAATACATAAATAAGTTATAAAACTCTATGCATTTAAATAGGAATTTATACGCAATGTGGAGGTAAATGAGTTAAGAAAGCAATTAATTAATGAAAATAAACAAAAGTCGCGACAAAATTCAGTCGACAACTCAGTCGACGATTCATCAAATGAGACCAAACTTTCTGATGAGACATACGCTCAAGAAATCGAGGCATTGATCGGAGACTCGCTTAATATCAGCGATGAAGCACTCAGTGAACAGATTATGGAAATTGAAAGTTATGTGACAAATGACGGAAATGTAGAAAATGTAAAACAAAGTGCAAAATCTTTAACAGTGATGCCTGTATTCAAAGAGATCACAGACTATAACGGATTCAATCACTTGGAGTCCAACCGGATATCCGAGTTGTTGAGCGCATCCAATGTTATAAACTATTTGTTTTCGTCAAACATAACCCAAATAACAGATTATGACTTATTTTATCGTTTAACAGCGTCGGGAGCTGATATGTATGCAAATAATCTGGTTACCTTTATAAAAAGTCTAAATAGCTTCAAAAATATCTGCAAAAACGATCAGTTTTCACTTGTCAAGTCCGGGTCCATTGATATTATGTTATTAAGATGTTTGAATTATATTGATCATGATTTTCAAAACTATTTGGTTCCAATTGTAAGTTATTTGAAAATTTATATAATTGTTTGTTTAATACATTTCAAACTATTTGATTAATAGGACAATGAGAAAACATTGTGTATTCCCGTAGAAGTAATGAAAAGGGAAAAGACAGACATTTTTAATAAAACCAAACCCATTGTGGACCGACTGTTGGCTGTATGGCAACGCGATTCTGTTATAATGGAGCTGGTACAGTAGATACTTAAATTAGTTGCAATAAATACAGTGTATATTAATATTAAATTGATTATTTCCATTTATAGTTAACAGCTATTATCATATTCAATCCAAACATACCAAAAATAACTCATAGGACTAGTGTTAAGTAAGTCAATCTTAACTTTTATTTTTGCTTATTAATAATATCGTACTTTTTTTGTTTGTGCATATAATAATTGTAATTAAATTTACATCGATTATTAGACTTGAACAGCAACTATACATATATTTACTACAGAGGTATCTATTATTAAAATGTGGATCGGATGTGGAATCGCAATCAAAGCTACAGGCGCTCATGATTTCATTGTTTGAATTAATCTCATTTAGAGATTTGCATCGAAAGGATTTGAAAACTTATATACACCTGTAAGGGCCACTATTTAATGAGATATTCATTCAAAGCTAGATACACTATATTTAATAATCAATAATCTAATATTTTGACAATTCTATAAATCAATAAATTGTAATTCATGTAAAAATTTAATTATTGTAACATTACATAAAATGATAACATATTAAAAGTTGTTCAATTGATTTTAAAACTTACTTATAAATTAATAGTAAAATAAATTATATTGGTACCCTAATAGCACCTGATGGACAGAGTTATATCCGGAATATTTCAATTTTAGAGTCACAATGAAAATACACTGTGCTACTGAATTAAATGAATACAGTAAGGACCTTGTTTCAAAATTTTGACGATATTTGTTGTACAATTAGAGATTAGAATAAAGTTTATAGTATTTAATATTTTCAAGTTTTACACGAAAAGAAATTGATATAATATATCGACTTGATATAATATATTGATATAATATATATATGATATAATATATAATATATAATATATAATATATAATATATATTATATACTATGCCCTCTATATGAAATACAATTTTACTTGCCTGTTACTAGTAATAGTGATTACAGTACAGTATATCTAAAATTGAAAGTAAATCATGTATTACAGTATTTTGTTTGTATAGTATACAAAGTACTACAATAAAAATACTACAACATGAGTAATAAAATTGTCGATAAAGTTTGTACGATATGTGACGGGAATAAGAAAATTGGTAATTATAATAAAATTTTTATATTACACAATTTATCATTTTAATGTATCAAAATCAAATAAATTAAAATTTTAAAATAATACAGTGCCAATATAATTACTAAGCTTTAACATTATTAATAAAAATTTGATATAATAGGCAGAAATTTTGGTGCCATTACTTGCGATTCGTGTAAATCATTTTTCCGGAGAACTGCACTCATAATAAGGGTTAATCTAAAATGATTTGCAATTTGTAAGCATTTGTATATTTAATAATCTGTACATTTTACAGCCATTGATCTGTCCCTCGGATGATAAATGCAATATAACCACAGCAACGAGAAAATGTTGTCAAAAATGTAGACTTAATAAGTGTTTTGCAGTGGGAATGAAAAAAGTAATTATTAAACTTTCATAATTAAATAATCAATTTATTATAATTTTATGATTTTTGAATAGGAGTTCATACGGGATGTGGAGGCAAAAGAGTTAAGAAAACAATTAATTCAAGAAAATAAACAGAAATCTCAACAAAATAATGAAAACAATTCAGTTGACAAACCTATTGATAATTCTGTGGACAATGTCATCAACGATACATCAAATGAGACCAAACTTTCTGATGAGACATACGCTCAAGAAATCGAGGCATTGATCGGAGACTCGCTTAATATCAGTGATGAAGCACTCAGTGAACAGATTATGGAAATTGAAAGTTATGTCATAAAAGATACAAACGTTGAAAAAGTGGCTCAAAATACTAACCCATTAGCAGTGATGCCTATTTTCAAAGAGATCATAGACTATAACGGAATCAATCACTTGGAGTCCAACCGGATATCCGAGTTGTTGAGCGCATCCAATGTTATAAACTATCGGCTTTCGCCAAACATAATCGAAATAAGAGATTACGAGTTATTTGTCCGGTTAATGGCACCGGGAAGTGATACTTACGTAAAAAATATGATTACATTCATCAAAAGTCTGGACAGTTTTAGAAATATCTGTAAAAGTGATCAGTTTTCACTTGTAAAGTACGGGTGCTTAGATTTAATGCAGTTCCGAGCGATGACTTATTTGGATACTCACCGAAAGCATTATTTGTTCCCAATTGTAAGTCTCTCTCTCTCTCTCTCTCTCTCTCTCTCTCTCAAATGTTTATTAATGATTAATTACCAATATAAATTTATTACTAGGATGAACATACTACTATATGCTTTTCCATTGAAGTAGTAAAACATCATAACATGGAAATATTCAACAAAACCAAACCAATAGTGGACCGACTTTTGACTGAATGGCAAAACGATTCTGTTATTATGGAATTGGTATTCAATAAATATACTGGGCAGTTTTAATTATGACACATTAAATTTATATTTATAGTTAACAGCAATTATAATATTTAATCCAAACGCACCGAATGTAACACATAGAAATGTTATTAAGTAAGTTGCCTATTTATACCATGATTAACATGAAAACGAATTATGTATTTCTTTGTACTACTTGTTAGACTGGAGCAGCAATTATACATATATCTACTACAGAGGTATCTATTATTAAAGTGTGGATCGGATACAGAATCGCAATCAAAACTACAAAAACTAATGATTTCATTGTTTGAATTAATTATTACAAACTGACCTTTCTCATTCCCACGGATAAACACTTTTCGAGTCGACATTTTTGACACAGTTTTCTAGGATTTGCTGCTATATTACAGTTCCCATCATTTATACATATCACTTGCTATTGACAAACAATATACCATGTTTAATTACAACTGTTTCAAACAATAAGTTTAATATTTACAATATTTTTAAGGGCCATTCGTCGGAAAAATGATTTACACGAATCGCAAGTAATGGCACCAAAGTACCTGCCTTAATATATATTAAATTTATAATTATTAATAAAATAAATTAATATATTTAATAAACTTAGCAAGGTTTAATAGAATTATACTTACCAACTAACTTGGTTCCACCGCAAATCTTACACAGCTTATCGCCAAGGTCCATATTCATTATATTTAAGTTTTTAAAAAAATTTACTTAAATTTTTAAAACTTAAGCTCATTTGAAATCTAAATTCAAACTAATCCATTTCATTAATGTCTGCTAAACTAAATATCATCTTTCAATTAAATTGAAAAAAAATTTCCTTTATAACACATTTCACAAATGAATTATTTATTAATTGTTTTCATGCTTACAACTTATCTAACACCAATTAAATCAATTATTTAAAAAGTTATTATGCAATAACTAGTATATTAATTTGATTCAAGTACAGTAAAACCTACACGATTAATGATAAAAGTTTTGAGTGCAACTGTTACAAATCTATTATTTAAAAAGTTATTGTACAATTACTAGTATTTTAATTTGATTAATAAGATAGTATTAAAAAGGAAATTAAAAATTTTATTAATTTTACAATTTTAAAAATAAAATTATATCAAAAACAAATGTTAATAAAAAATGATATTACCGGTAGGAATAGGCATTTAAGTTTAAACAATTATGTAGACACTTATTTAATATACCGGTAATATTGTTCATATACAGTACTACAGTATTTTGTTAAATTTTAATAAAACTTTTTATAGTGTTTTATAAATTAATTATTTTATAATGTTATAATAATATTAATGTATTAAAGAAATTATTCCCCAGGTATTGGTATTTTAGGTAAACGAAAAGGTAAGATTTTTTGCCTATAACTCATAAACCTAATAAGTGTGTTATTACAGTAGTTCCAAACTTCAAACCTAACGCTAGGGCTAAATATAAAGTTTACTTCTATAGCAACATTATTTATTTATATGTTAACAACAAGCTCAGACAGTTTATTTAAAATTTTTTTAATACAAAGCATGGAGTATGTTAATTATAATTACATAATGGTATTTCTATGTGCTAGGTCCGGTACATTGGGATTAAATAGCATGATTGCAGTCAACTATTAGTTATAAATATAATTAACATTGTTTTCATTAGTTATTAGTAATATTTAGATGATTTATAATAAATACCAGTTCCATAATAACTTGGTCCTTTTCCCATTCTGACATAAAATCGTTAATTATTTTCCCATAACTACCAACAACTTCAAGATCTCCAGAAATTCTTAATGAAAAACTCATTGCTTTATCCAAAGTCTATGAAAATTAAAATAAGTTTAAATGTTGAGTGAGTGAGTGAGTGAGTGAGAGAGAGAGAGAGAGAGCTACAAACCATTGGGAAGATATAACTTTGAGTCCTTATGTCATAATAATTCAAAAGTCGCAATACAATCAAATCAAAGCACCCGTACTTCACAAGTATGAACTGATCATTTTGACAAAGGGATTGAAAACCACTCAGACTTTTAATAAGTTTCACAGTATTCTGGACATGACTCTCACCACCAGGTGCTGTTATACTAACCAACTTACTAAGATCAGTTATTTTAACGACATTTTTAGGTACTGGATAGTTTATTATATTGGATGCTTGAAATAACTCTGTAATCCGAGTGCACTCTAACTGATTAAACCCATTATAATCTGTAACCCCTTTGGTTATAGGAATCACTGAATTTTGACTAATAATCTCAAGACTATTATTTTCTGTGCTATTATTTGTTACACTATTTTCAATGTCCATAATCTGTTCACAAATTTCTTCATCACTAATATTCAGAGTTTTATTAATCAAGTCATCGATTTCTGTATCAATGGTATCATCACAATGTTTGGTTACATCTGAAGTGTCGTTATGTTTGGTGTCACTAATCAATTGATTTTTCCATGTATTTTGTATTAATTCCTTAAATAAAAACATTTTTATTAAAAGATTTTCTATTACTTAATTATATTATATTACCTTTCTCATCCCGACTAACAAACACTTATCATATCTACATTTCTGACAAATATTTCTTGGATGTGACTTAATATCACATTTGCCATCAGAAATACAGTATAATGGCTATTGATATAACAGTAATAATACAAAATAATTAATTCTTTAATTTTTAATAATTTGTTTTTAACCTTATTTTTGAGAGCAGTTCTCCTAAAGAATGATTTACAAGAATCGCATGTTATTGCCGTAAAATGTCGGCCTAAATAAAAATGGTCTAGTTAAAATTGATATATTTATGAGATTTATAATAAAATATAAAAATAAACTTTAATACCAATTGACTTATTGGCGCCACAAATCATACAAACTTTATCACAACTATTTGCACTCATATTATGATTTGGTATTTAATGTATTTGTAAAGAATTGTGAAAATAAAATTTAATGAAAATTACATATGGGAAAAAGTAAATTTTTTAATATTCATAAATTATTGACAATACTGTAGTTGACAATAAAAAAAACTAGTAAACATAATAATTGATGTAACCTTGATTAGCACGGTTAAATAATTTTACAAATGCTAGTATCCTTGTATTGGGAACTTCAATAAATGTTGTTTAATAATAAGTTTCTAATTATTACAGAATTTACTTACTAACAATTGTAAACTATATTTATTTGTTATTATAAAATTGTGCTTACATTAGAGTTTATTTTATTAAATATATTATTTGTGTATAAATACTGTAGTATGCATTCAAAATTTTGAACATTGTTATATTGGAATTCAAATTTACAGCCTGTATTACAATTGTATAATACTGTATATTATAGGTATATTACAGAAATTAATAATTTTATATTTAATTATAAATTTATATATTTGGGATACATGTTCATTTTTAAGTATTGATTAATAATAATTTATAATATCTGATTGTGCGGGAAAATCTCGTTATAAAGGGGTCCATAGAGATGTACATAGCTTTCCAACTCCTTTAGATGCAATTCTCTCGATGAGATTAATTCAAACAACGAAATCATTAGTTTCTGTAGTTTTAATTGCGATTCTGTATCCGATCCACACTTTAATAATAGATACCTCTGTAGTAGATATATGTATAATTGCTGCTCCAGTCTAACAAGTAGTACAAAGAAATACATAATTAGTTTAAATGTTATATATGATATAAATAGGCAACTTACTTTATAACATTTCTATGAGTTACATTCGGTACGTTTGGATTAAATATTATAATTGCTGTTAACTATAAATATAAATTTAATGTGTCATAATAAAAACTACAGTATATTTATTGAATACCAATTCCATAATAACAGAATCGTTTTGCCATTCAGTCAACAGTCGGTCCACTATTGGTTTGGTTTTGTTGAATATTTCCATTTTATCATGTTTTACTACTTCAATGGGAAAGCATATAGTAGTATGTTCATCCTAGTAATAAATTTATATTGGTAATTAATAATTAATAAACATTTGAGTGAGTGAGTGAGAGAGTGAGTGAGTGAGAGAGTGAGTGAGTGAGTTTATTGGGATCAAATATTGCTTTCGGTCAGTATCAAAATAAGCCAACACTCGGAACAGCATTACATTAAAGCACCCGTCCTTTACGAGTGAAAACTGATCACTTTTACAGATATTTCTAAAGCTGTCCAGACTTTTGATGAATGTAATCATATTTTGTATGTAAGTCTCACTTCCCTTTGCAAGTGACCGCATAAATAAGTCGTAATCTCTTATTTCGGTTATGTTTGTCGAAAACGGATTGTTTATAACATTGGATGCGCTCAACAACTCGGACATCCGGGTGAACTCCAAGCGATTAAATCCTTTATAGTCTGTGATCACTTTGAAAATAGGCATCACTGCTAATGGATTAGTATTTTTGGCCACTTTTTCAACTTTTTTGGTATCTTTTATGACATAACTTTCAATTTCCATAATCTGTTCACTGAGTGCTTCATCGCTGATATTAAGCGAGTCTCCGATCAATGCCTCGATTTCTTGAGCGTATGTCTCATCAGAAAGTTTGGTCTCATTTGATGTATCGTTGATGAAGTTGTCCACAGAATTATCAATAGGTTTGTCAACTGAATTGTTTTCATTATTTTGTTGAGTTTTTTGTTTATTTTCTTTAATTAATTGTTTTCTTAACTCATTTGCCTCCACATCCCGTATGAACTCCTATTCAAAAATCATAAAATTATAATAAATTGATTATTTATAATTATGAACGTTTAATAATTACTTTTTTCATTCCGACTGCAAAACACTTATTAAGTCTACATTTTTGACACCATGTTCTCGATTCTGTGGTTATATTGCATTTACCATCCGAGGGACAGATCAATGGCTATAAAATATACAAATTATTAAATATACAAATGCTTACAAATTGTCAATCATTTCAGGTTAACCCTTGTTTTGAGTGCAGTTCTCCGGAAAAATGATTTACACGAATCGCAAGTAATGGCACCAAAATTTCTGCCTATTATACAAAATTTTTATAAATAATGTTAAGGCTTACTAATAATTAGGTATTATTTTAACATTTGAATTTATTTGATTTTGATATATTAAAATGGTAAATAGTATAAAAATTTATTATAATTACCAATTGTCTTATTCCCGCCACAAATCGTACAAACTTTATCAACAATTTTATTACTCATGTTGTAGTAATTTTATTTTAGTACTTTATATGCAAACAAAATAATACATGATTTACTCTCAATTTATTTTAGAGATACTGTAATCAATATTTACAGGTAAGTAAAATTGTATTTCATTGTATAAATAAATTGTATCTAGGCCTTATATCAAAAATCAAAACTTAATTACTTTTTATTACCTTTTAATGAATGCTGTAAATATGATGCAAAAAATGTCAATACAGTAGAGACATCAATAATACATAATATTAATATTGTGTAATAATGACATTGATAACATTATAACATATTCGACAATCTTGATTGATTAGTATATCAATATCTCTTTGTTTAATACCTGAAAATATGAAATACTCTAAACTTTATTTTAATCTCTAATTCTACAACAAATATCGTTAAAATTTTGAAACAAGATTCTTTATTGTATTTTCATTGTGACCATAATTAACTCTAAAAATGTCGATATTACGAATATAATTCTGTTCACCAGGTGCTATTAAGGTACCAATATAATTTATTTTACCGTTAATTTATAATTACAGTAAGTTTTTAAATCAATTGAACAACTTTATTAGCGTGTAGGTGTATATTTATAATTTTTGTGCATAATAATAAATTGCATAAAATAAATATGATTTACCAATTTGTTTTGTATCCACCACAAATCATACAAACTTTATCAAGAATCTTATTATTCATGTTGTATTCCTAGTATCCTTATTGGGAACTTCAATAAATGTTGTTTAATAATAATTTTCTAATAATTACAGAGTTTAGTCACTAAACTATATTTATTTATCATCATAAAATTGTGCTTAGATTAGCGTTTATTTTATTAACTACGGTATCTTATTTGTGTATAAATAGTATACATTCAAAATTTTGAACAGTGTTATATTGGGAGTCAAAATTACTGCCTGTATTACAATTGTATAATATATTATAGATATATTAAAGAAATTAATATCTTTATATTTAATAATGAGTTTATATATTCAATATATATTTATTCTAAACATTAAGTATTTATCTGGTTGTGCGGGAAAATCTCGTTAAAAAGAGGTCCATAGAGATGTACAAAGCTTTCCATATCTTTTAGATGCAATTCTCTCAATGAGATTAATTCAAACAATGAAATCATTAGTTTTTGTAGTTTTGATTGCGATTTTACTTGTTAGACTGGAGCAGCAATTATACATATATCTACTACAGAGGTATCTATTATTAAAGTGTGGATCGGATACAGAATCGCAATCAAAACTACAAAAACTAATGATTTCATTGTTTGAATTAATCTCATTGAGAGAATTGCATCTAAAAGATATGGAAAGCTTTGTACATCTCTATGGACCTCTTTTTAACGAGATTTTCCCGCACAATCAGATAAATACTTAATGTTTAGAATAAATATATATTCAATATATAAATTGATTATTAAATATAAAGATATTAATTTCTTTAATATATCTATAATATATTATGCAATTGTAATACAGGCAGTAATTTTCACTCCCAATATAACACTGTTCAAAATTTTGAATGTATACTATTTATACACAAATAATATATTTAATAAAATAAACTCTAATGTAGGCACAATTTTATAATAATAAATAAATATAGTTTACAAGTTAGTAAGTAAATTCTATAATAATTAGAAACTTATTATTAAACAACATTTATTGAAGTTCCCATTTATACAAGGATACTAGGAATTGTAACATTATTTACCCTTTGTAAACAATGTTACATCAAATATTATGTTTACTAGTTTTTTTAATTGACAACTACAGTATTGTCATTAATTTATGAATATTAAAATATTTACTTTTTCCCATATGTAATTTTCATTAAATTTTATTTTCACAATTCTTTACAAATACATTAAATACCAAATCATAATATGCTTACAAATAGTTGTGATACAGTTTGTATGATTTGTGGTGCCAATAAGTCAATTGGTATTAAAGTTTATTTTTGTATTTTATTATTAATCTCATAAATATATAAATTTTAACTGGACCATTTTTATTTAGGCCGACATTTCACGGCAATAACATGCGATTCTTGTAAATCATTCTTTAGGAGAACTGCTCTTAAAAATAAGGTTAAAAACAAATCATTAAAAGTTGAGAAATTATTATTTTGTATTATTATTACTGTTATATTAATAGCCATTATACTGTATTTCTGATGGCAAATGTGATATTAAGTCACATCCAAGAAATATGTGTCAAAAATGTAGATATGATAAGTGTTTGTTAGTCGGGATGAGAAAGGTAATATAATAGTAATTGAACAATTTTCATTAAAAATGTTTTTATTTAAGGAATTAATACAAAATACATGGAAAAATCAATTGATTAGTGACACCAAACATAACGATACTTCAGATGTAACCAAACATTGTGATGATACCATTGATACAGAAATCGATGACTTGATTAATAAAACTCTGAATATTAGTGATGAAGAAATTTGTGAACAGATTATGGACATTGAAAATAGTGTTACAAATAATAGCACAGAAAATTATAGTCTAGAGATTATTACTCAAAATTCTGTGATTCCTATAACCAAAGGGATTACAGATTATAATGGGTTTAATCAGTTAGAGTGCACTCGGATTACAGAGTTATTTCAAGCATCCAATATAATAAACTATCCAGTACCTAAATATGTAGTTAAAATAACTGATCTTAGTAAGTTGGTTAGTATAACAGCACCTGGTGGTGAGAGTCATGTCCAGAATACTGTGAAACTTATTAAAAGTCTGAGTGGTTTTCAATCCCTTTGTCAAAATGATCAGTTCATACTTGTGAAGTACGGGTGCTTTGATTTGATTG